TTGTCAATTGCAAGACTATAATGCAATTAGACGTAACTGTTTGTCAATTGCATTCACAAATCACATATGTTCTCAAAATGCAAGAGGCTACCAATAACATGGCAATATGGATACAATCATTGCAAAATAGGACTAACCAATTGGTAATTGGATTCAACATGACATATTGAAGTACCTCTTACATTTCCATTACCAAAATGCAAGGCTACAAATATCATGCCATTTGCATTAAAATTAATAAATTATATCTAATGTTTTTCGAATGAGTCACAAACTTTTCAACATCAACAATATGCCCAACATTAAAGAAGAGAAAGATATTGACATTGATCATATTGTGTTTCTTGTCTGTGAAATAACTCAAATTACAATGGTTTTCTTTTTAGCAAATCAAAAACCCATTTACTTCTGCTTTGTTGCTTCCTGGGCTGCATTAATTTCTGCTTAGTTTTTCTGGTTTTCTTTTCATAACATAATTACTTGATTTCATAGAGGGAATAGAAATCTTAATCACTCAATCAGTTGTTGGGTTTGATTATTGAGAAAATGACAGAAAGCTGTAGGGAAAGCACAGAATCTTGCAACAGCCAATCCAACCGACCCCATTTCCATTCATATGGAAAATGCAAGCTGAGAAAAAGCTGGGAACTCAAGTATGGACAAGGATAATAAAGCTATTAATTTTACCTTTGCAATGGCCACTTAAATTCGTTTCAGCAACAGCAACTCGTTTCCACCGATTTTTTGTGAACCACGCAAAATGCCCAGCCACCGAGATTTAAGATCTTCTCAATTCATCTCCAGAATCAAGCGATTCAGATGTAGGGGAAGAGAGGGAGAGATGAAAGAGAGAGCGCCGTTCTTGGAGAAGCCTCAGCAGCAGTTCACGATCTTCCCTTCTCCCTTTCTTTTTCTGTTTTTCTTTTCTTGTTTTCTTTCTCTTTTTCTGTTTAATTTTTATTTTATTCACTTTTACCTACACCAACCCTTTTAATAGGTTACCAGCAGTCAATGGTGTGGATTTAACCCTCATCTCCACTTACTCATCCAATGGCTGATATTTTGGGCGCATGGATACACCACGCCCATTGTAGAATTTTCCAAAGGACAGACCCACCATCGTCTGTCATGTAAATCTCCATAATGTTTCTCCTTTTGAAAGCTTTTAACATCTGTGAGATTGTCACATGAATTAGAGGGCAACAAATTCTGTGCCATTACGAGAAGCAGGGAAATGTTTTTTGTTGTTGGAAAATGGTGCTAGCTGGCTGGAATCTGTACGTAAATACCAATTCAAATGAGCTTTACCTAGAAAGATTTTGTTGGCTTTGACCTATAAGAGGAAGGATTGACTCACCCCTAACGAGGAGAAATTAAGTATATGTGTTATGTTAATCCAATTTATATAATTGCTAAGATCTTGTTGGAATTCACCTGGCTGGTGATAAAAGTCCCTAGGAAATGAATAATGAAGGGATCTAATCCAATTTTCATTCGTTATTATACTAACATTTTCATCTATTTATATAGAGTTTTTTTTTTATGTCAAGATGTCCTTTTAAAAAAAAATCCTTTATAGGGCTACCCCATAAATGCAGTCGAACGATTGGAACAGTCTGTATTTTTTATCTTCATTCAAGGATCATCCTGCAAATTCTATTTAGATAAAAAACTATTTGGTTATCTAAAATGTGAAGAAAAAAACAAACCATAATTCGTTAAATAGAACTTAATGAAAAATGCTGCTAATCAAATGACTAACTTTCGATTTGACTATTAGATTACAACCCAGAAATTTAATGTCATTGTTTTTCTTAAATAAGGACATTTTTACTAGAGAAAGCCTTTCTAATGTCACACTAATTATATTTAGCAGAAAAACTTGGAAAAAAAATGTCACAAACTTTATTTATGGACTGAAATACATTTGATAAAAAAAAAAGCCCACGAAGCTAGGAGCCCTATAGAATGCAGAACAAAAGGCCCAAGTAGTAAAATTTAAAGCCCCATAGAACAACTAATTTACACCTAGCTGCTTGCAAACCGGTGTGTTCAAATTGATTATTTTTTAGGGAAGAAAAAAGAAATTTGCAATGCAAGGTGATCTATAAATTCAGGTCAAATTAATCATTGCAAAGACATAATTTTTTGTTTTCAAATGCGCAGAGCTTTTAAAAAATATACATTTTGGTCAACTAAAAATGCTTAGAACTTGGAGGTCACGTTTCATGTGGAAAAAAAAAAGAAGGGAACTTGGAGGTTACATCTTCTAGTCTTTATTTTAAGGAACTCACTTGTAAGCTCTAAGCTAAGAACTCAAACCTCTCTCTCTCTCTCTCTCTCTCTCTCATATATACACACACACAGAAACTTCATGATGGCTGAAAAGGTGAGTGAGAAGAAGAAGAAGAAGAAGAAGCATGGTTCAAGTAACAAAGAAGGCAGATTGACCAAGTCATGGCCAGATCTTCCACCACAGCTTGTCAACTTAATCCAAAAGGACTCAACTATAATGCAAAATATGAGTTTTCAAGGTGTGTCCAAGTCATGGAGATCAGCACCAAGGCAATGCAATCCCTACCCTTCATCGCATCCATGGTTAGCAATCTCCCAATCCAACGGTCATCATGACAAAAATCATGACCAGTATCATTTCAACAATATTCCAAACCCAACAATTCCATGCCTTAAAATCCCAAGAGCCATCTTAACCCCAGACTTCTACACTCACTTCCTCCAAAATTGGCAAACCACACCCTTCTCAAATCACTTCTTCTGGGACCCAAGGAAGCAACCTCAGAATTTATCACACCACCCTGTAGGGTCCACAAATGGGTTACTCATTGCCAAAGCATCTCACAATCCTCTTCAGTATTGTGTGTGGGACCCAATTAACAGCCTCAAGTTGGACCTACCGCAGTGGGATGCCAATGTTCCATTTAAATGTGCAGTCTTGTCCTCAGCAGAGGAAGATAAATGCCATGGTAAATCTCTAAGGCCCCGTTTGGTTCACGGAATGAATTTGATGGGAAATCATTTCCCATGTCATTTTCCAAGGGATAGGAAATGTTGATTCCTTTCCCATGTTTGGTAATGCAGGGAAAGTGATCCGGAAATATCACTTTATTTCCTTTCCCATGTTTGTTTTGAGTATGAATGGAAAACAAATTTTGTTTAGTTTCCCAATTGTACCCCTATTAAAAAAAAAAAAGAATACCAATAATTGTTGGATAAAAATTGTAATTATGAATTGTTAGTAAGGACAAATTAGTCAAAAAAATTGTATTTAATGCTAGTTTTACTTTCCCATGGGAAGGGAAAGTGAAACCCAAGGAGGAAGGAAGGATTCACTTTCCCTCCTACTTTCCCATGTGCTAGGAATCGCTTTCCCATGCCTGACTTACCAAACATGGGAAATGAATTGATTTCCCATGCCCAAGATTCCTTTCCCATGAACCAAACGCAGCCTAACAGTAATGGTCTTAACTGGTTTGAGCCATCCAGCTTTCTTGTTCTACAAGATACGAGGAGGCAGTGAATATGCTTGGGTAAAACAAGATTCCACAATTACTGACCCTCAACACCATTGGGACAAGTCAGAACGACACCGTTACATGCAGTTCACCAATGCCATTGGGTTTGAAGGTAAGTTTTATGCCTTGAGTTTGCAGGGGACACTTGCAGTCATAGAAGTTACTGACCCTTACCCTGAAATTACTGCTGTTAGTACGACAAGGGCAGTACCGTCGATATCTTCGAGGCATTTCCGAGAGTACTTGGTTGAAACAGGCGGTGAGATCCTACTGGTGTTTCT